ACAAATAACATATCCGTTATGAGTCGTCATGCTATTGTTATACCATAACATTTCTGTGGAGCATTAATACGATTTGGCTCATGACAATAGATAACATGTGAAAAAATCATAGTAGCTAAAATGAGACTAATAATCATAGCTCGTTTAGCATTCTTCAATGAGCTCATCTGTCGACGATGTAATTTAAGACTTGACAGAAGCCATCGATCAATCATAGCGAAAAGTATATACCAAATCGCCACTGGTCTTGCAGTATTAACAACAAAACCACGAAGCTTGCAAAAAAATCGACTTGTTGCTGTTAGATCAGCTCCCCAACCAGATAATATTCGTGAAAGAAGACCAGACAAGATAGCAAGAAAATCTACCACCGATGAGAATAGAAAAAGTACAGCACATGGATTAGGACGGAATGATCTTTGGGACAAAATTAAAACATTGAGAATATTTCCAATTGAACCAAAAAGAAAGATAAAAATTGAAAAGTAACGAATGAGTTGGAGTGTAACATTATTTATTGTTGCAATCAAATCTGCATCGGACTCTGAAGTGATGGTTGAGTTCAATTGATCCATAATAAGTTTAATCTGAAAATGATAGAAATAAAACTAAGATGTTCTGTTGTTCGGAGTTTTATTCACATAGAACACTAGATGAATGAGATGCAAAATGTATTTCTCCATGAAGGACTCACTTTTGAATGAGAAAAAGAATATATGTGATGGATTCGTTGTGTCTATTCATTTACTGATAATGTTTCAACCGATCACTAATGACACTAGAATATTCGATGAAAGCAAACTGTAATTGGTCTTTTGTACTTTTTCCAATTATCTGTTTCACTCACTCGATAAGAGAGAAGCTTATTCTGCAATATCTGTTATAAAACTAATTAGTATTGTTTGACGCATATTCAAACAGAAATATCGCTTCATCAATGTTTAGCATGTTAGGATAAGGTTTTTCTTCTATAAGTAGTTGAGTATATTGTCGTTGGGATTTTAAGAGTACACTCTTTCTTTTTGACTTTTTCTGGTTCTCGAGGGCAGTGAACCGATCATGCTCACATTTTTACTATAGATAGAGGAATAAAAATAATGGGACATGTGTCCGAGGAACAATACTTTAAAATGGAGTTTTACGGCTTTTTCTGGAAAACTCTGGTTTATTATATGGCTGCAATTTGGTAACTTGCCATCGGCATCTAACTTTATTCAATCAGGCTAAAAATTTTATTATTGATACTTCAAAGTATTTCTCAGGTATGAAATTGGCTGTTTTTATTTTTGACTTTCTTTCCTGGTTTTTGCAGGATTATGAAAGCCAAAGGTTCTGATTCTGTGAAAAAGAGATCTTGTTAAGTCCAGTCTCGTTCGTCAACGTCTCGCAAAATTATATTCGTTAGTTTTCGAGATATGAAGCGTACATATCTGTACTTGTATCTTAGATACCCATGTGCAATTAATCAAGGGTTGTCTATGGAGAATAGTAAGAAAACTATCTATAAAAATTTTCTCTCATTTTGTTCAATTCGAAAATTTTATTCTGTCTGTTTGTTACATTTTTCTTTTGCGATTCTAATGGATTGACGTAGGAATTCATGACAACACGCAACATCTAACTCAACAGATATGTTCTGTTGAAATTAAAACTGACGCATCTTGTTTTGTATTATAAAGACGAAAATAGTTTTATCAATTAAAATTTCATCAATCACATCTTCGTGGTTTTACTTAAATAGAAAAGCAGAAAAATGTATGCAAGAATGAGTTATATCCCATTTTTTATTCATATTATTCAAGTAGAACTACATTAGCAATCAAAGAATATTATTTCTGATATTTGAAAGCAGTGTTATAAATGCAGAAAATCGAGAATTGTGAATAAAAAAATAATTAAATGCATTTTTTTCATTTTTTCAAACATTATGGCGATCTTATACATTAGAAGACATGCTCATTTTCTCATGCTGTGTTTTTCATTTTCAGGATATGACAATTTTCTTACATTAAAAATAACTTGTTGCGACGTTTATATCATAATACAGCCATGAGCAAGAACTATCGGATTACATAAGACGCATCGAAAACGTGTTTTGCTCATTCTGATATTTTTTTTATCTTATTAACTCTCATTATTTTCTTGAAAACTAAAAAGATAAAAATATATCTTTCAAAAAACATCATGTCTACATGGTTGGATAGAGCTCATACTCCATTATTTTAGGATTGATCGGCATTCTTTTCTTTTTTTTTCATTTTTAATAAATCATTAAGTTTTGTTTGTCTCTTTCATCTAAGCAGAATAGTTGTAATATTAAATAGTTACATGATATTATGTTTCTTCAAACAAGATAGCAAGTAGTTTGTTTTTATTTATTTAAAATAAAATTTATAGTTGCTCATTAGTTATGAAAAGAATAGATGTAAGAAACCAGGAAAATTTAAGAATTTCAAAAATATGAGGTATTTAGAAAAACAATCAATAAGTTTGAAAAAACGAGAAATAAAAAAAATCTAAAATTATTGTTAAAGCATAGAATAAAACGATTTAGTTAATACTGATGAGCTCAATCAACTAATAATACACAATTTCATCGTTAAAAATAGAAAATTTTTATGCTAATGTTCACAGTCTATTTTGATCGAGAAAATTCGCAGAATGTTAAGTAAATACTACACTTGACTACACAATGTTCGGAAGAGTCGACATAATTAGTCGAGTTATCTTAGTACTAACCAACACTATTCCTTCGTTCTTGTACGTACCGACAGTAGTTTGGTTAAAGGTCAATCTATTATTTGTCTTATCATCAACTAAAAAATTCAACTAATGATTGTTAATAAAATCTCTTGCAAAAGTCTTAAGACAATATGTTTATTAATGTTTTTTGTCACTTACATATAATTAATGAAAATCAAAAGTAGTTAACTAAAATCAGAATGTCATACTCTGTTCAAATATGTAATTCGAATATTCTACTGACTTGAAATTAATTACAGATGCGTAATATATTCGACAAAGTCAAAAGTAATATTTACAAAAAAAGAAATCTTTGCACAAAAGTTTGTTCATTTTTCAGTCACTGAAAATATGTAATATGAAAAAAAAAAAAAGAAGAAACTCATTAAAATCAGATTATCTGATCTTCTTTAATACGTGTTCATACTATCTCTTTGACTGAAGGGTACTTTACTGAAAGGTAATACGAGATAGGAACAAAATGACATCATTATGCAGAGAAATAACATTTTTTGTTCTTTATTCTTTACTTGTATAGGTTATATTTTGAATCATTTCAAAATAGATCATTTATAGTTTTTCAAAACACTGATTGGTATATAAAATAACATCCTGACAAGTAAATAACAGTAGCTCTACAAAGAAAAATAGAACTTAGATGAAGTTTACAAATGACAATAAAACATGACAAGTAATCGACGCAATAGTTATCAAGGTAATGAATGAAAATTCAGCCGTAGTTTATGAGACAGTAGTCATCTGTCACTCAATCATTAAGTTTACGATAGAAATACTTTCTGCAATGAAACGATGAGATGCCTAGAAAAACATAAAAAAATATGAATAGCTCCGTTTCTGAGAGAAAAATTAAATAGATCTGTTCTAGTCACAAACGAGAGCCATACTCACATTCATCATGATATTCTTCAGGGCTGCATAGAATAACATATTGAAATGTTTATCAGGATCTGTGAAGTTCAGGAGCTTTTTGCATTATATCTGCCTGGTATAGTCTGCGTCTTGAAGAAGTCTCGTATATTCTGTCTATCTCTCATGGTGTGTGAAGCTAAAGAGTTTTGTATATTAAATCTAGTTGTCAGGCTCTGTGCCCAAAGACTTGAAAGTTTTTTAAAAGTGTAATAAAATGATGAAAAAGATATTTTCATTAACATAATTTCATGATTTTGATTAAAAGTAAAATTCTTTACCTTTGCTCTTTTAAAATGTAGCTGTTAATTTATGAGTTTGAAATATATGAACCTTTTCTGTTCGTTACATCATCTAAAATATCATTTTTTCATCTTTTTGATACAAAAATTTATGAAAGTTATGAACTGTTTTTGATTTTTCAAGTGCATAATTGGGATGAACTTGAGGGTTGGATTAACTTTTCTTGCTATATACATCAATATTCATTAACAATTGTATTGAACAAAAGACGAACTACAAATATTAGTCATGTAGACCAAAAACTATTGAAAACTGTTAATAAGCACGACAGGAACATCAAAATGAAGCACAACTTACCATATAAAATACCCTCTGCCTGATGATAGGATACGTGAGAGAATAGAAAAGAGTGTTAAAATTGAATGAAACAAGCTTCAATGTGCTTGTCGGATTGGTGCTAAGCGTAAAAATAGACAAAAAGATCTCAGCAAGAGAGAGACTCATGCCGTGAAGAATGATAACAGTCATACTTATAACGATCAACTGGAAAAGTAGGTTGACATGTCACCCTCGTTAGTGATGTTTATTGAGTTACTTCATATTTCTACAATGTAACTAATTCACATACAACAGATACTTATATAAGAGATAGAGAAAAAGAGAGATTGATATGAGAATCGGAAACGGAAAGGAAAGATCAGCGGGAAATTATATCTAGGGAATGATTTGTGAAATGTTCATATGTCAACTATGAGCATCTCATAATCCCTCAATATATTCCTTTTGGGATATATTGAGATCTTGTAAACCCTTTATAAGCCTTTGTATGAGTATAGAAACATCTTCTAAACCATTTCCAAAATCCTATTTAAGAGTTCATACACGGATATATGAATCTCCTAAACTCCTATGAAAGCATTTAGGAAAATTTTATAGACGGTAAAAAAAAAGAAAAATTTATCATACTTTCCACTTTCATAGACTCTTCTAAGGGTACTCACACTCACTTTGCCCCGGGTTTTTGGAGAACAATTTATCAGAAAAGTATGAAATTGTCAGAGTAGATAGATATTTAAGAGTCGAGTAAAAATTGTGTTAGATTCAAGGTTCCTGAGTACTGCCTTCTATGATATATTTCACACACGATTGATCAAAAGGATTTTTCTTTTTGCCTTTGTTTCTACGAGGTACTACGTTGGATCGAGTTCAAACTTTTTCTTACACGTACTAGATGCTATTTGAAATAGATATTATTTTTTCGTTTCCATATATTGCATGCTCTTTCAATAAGAAAATCAAATTGCGGAAGGTACCCAAAAAAAAAGTTTCAAGTCGATGCTCACAGCGTACTGGAGAAGCAAGAACAAAACAGTACTTGTTTTGTATAAAACTTGATTTTGTGAAAAAAAGACACAAAACAAAATCGAATGTTGAGTTTCTCCTAAATACTCATCTGTTTTTCTGTCTATATCAGATATTTGACTATTGTGTATTCGATGATATAGTTTTCTACGTTCAAAGATTACCTTCTTTTTATGCTTGTGAGATTCTTGTAATCAGATATGCATGAATAATAAAATTCTTGTCGACTTGACTTTTTATTTATTATTGACAGAAGCACTAAAAACTAAGAACAAACAATTCTGAAGATACTGACTTCTCA